ATGAAGCTTGAGTAGATGGCTGCACGAAAAATAAAAAGTAATATCTGTCAAAAAACACAAAGTAACGTCCCGAGCATTGCTCAATTTCACTATAACTCAGTCCACGCACTGATGCAATTATTTTACTTCATTTATCGACGACGAATTTCACTTACAATGAGTATAATTGCGCTTTTTAGCTATTTGACGATGATTTGGTCTGGTGATAAAGACCACAAATTGTGAAGTGGTAATTCCTGGGATGTAGAAATTTTCTTATTAGTTTCCAGTCCGACCAACGAAAAATAGTATTGCTTAATCATTTCCATACTGTATGAAGATCTGGACTGTCCCAAACTTTCGCCAATTTTAACAGTCTTCTACTCTAAAACTTATAGTAGAGATGGGTTTTGGGGTATGAGTTCGTTTAAATTTACATTAATAAATTTTTTTCTGTGTACATTTCGACACTTGCATTTAAGCTGATAAAAAAGAGGAAGTCATTAGTATTAGCTATATAGACATCTTCAACTGAGCGATTTAAATGTGCCAGACGCTTTTGGCTGAGAAGTCGCAGGCGCTTTGTTAGGGGTTATAAGACCCATAAATTCTTAATAATTAGCGAAAATTTGGGAACTTTATTAAAATAAAAATATTTTTAATGAGCCATTAACCTTCCCTTACTTCTTCTTCCTTCGATGCCATCTTATCGACTGGAGTGAGTGGCGCAGATCTGGCTCCGCTAGTACCCTCGCTAGTTGATTCACGGCTCCTTTTGACCATTTCTACAAGTTGATCAAATGACCTGGCCCTGGGCTGATGAACCACAGGACTGGGCTCGTCGACCAAAGAGATTAGTCTGTCGACAGGTGTTGCAATTCGTGAAGAGGCTGGGCCTTTCAGGCTGCTGCTAGTGCTGGCAGAATACAACTGGGCAGTCGGTCCCGAGGGTCGGCTCGAAGATGAGCTGGCTACCGATGCAGCTGAGGTAGAGAGCAGAATTGGCGAGCTAGGAGTTAGCTGAGGAGGTTCTATAGTGCCAGGTTGCCGACGACGATGATGACTCAACCCGAATAGATTTGCACTGGCTGTAGAGGAGATTGTGGCGCTTAGTTTGGTCGGGAAGCCCGTCTGGTAGGGGCTGCCTTGAATGGATAGCGCACTTTCCAGATTCATGGTAGAACTGACAAACGGGCTGGTGGCCTGAGTTCTAGAACTGGATGAGACGAAAGGAGCCT